TATTAGAATTTTGGTTATTCTTCACAATTACAGATAAATGGATCCTTTAAATATTCGATTTAATGTTAATTAAACAAGAAATCGATTGTTGATGGTGAATGAGTTGTGTGTCGTATATCATACGTAAAGTTAATAATGTAACAACAACAAAGAACAAAGAACATAGAAAAAGAAAAAATGCAAACGGTTATTTGCTTTTAGGCGTATCGAAGATAAGAAAACATTCGGAATTCGTGATAAACGGAAAGGATCGACATCATTATAATAATCATAAGAAAATCCAATTAATCCTTTATCGTTTTTGATTGTAGAATGACAAAACGTTACACTTTAATTATAAATCTTGTTTAATTGTATATAAGGAACTTGTACAGTCAAATCTCGTTTCAACGAAATAGCTGGACATATTAATATAAGAAAATGTTCGTTAAAACGAGATTACTAATCATGTTTCAACGAATTTTTGTTTGTTTTCGTCGAAACGTGAATTTAATTATAATTCGCTGGAAGGAAGATCGTTGAAACGAGGATTTGACTGTACTTGAAGAATAACAAATTTTTTTTTTCAATAATTTAAAAATCGAAACCGAACCGAAAATTTCGGTTTGAACCAAACCGTTCGGAGCTTTAACTATTACAAATCGTGATATAACAGAGTTAGATTTAATAATGTAAGTTTATAAATGCCTGTTTTGTTTTTTTATACATATAGTAATGAGAATTGCATGTACACTGGGATCTATATATTAATTTAATAGTTGTGAAAGGATTAGTACTGGAAGTAAATGAAGAAAAAAAGGATGAAAACAATATTTGTAAATTTCTAAACAAGTGATTTTCCACATAAGAATATTTAATAAGTAGCCTTAACAGTTTTTTATTAGAAAGGAGGCTTGGCAGAAAATCCGATGTTACATTATTAAAAAAAAATCATACTGTGATCCAAAATCAGTAAATTTCGAATTCCTTCTGGTGAAGTATGTTGGACTCCATGGATAAAAATCGAAGATAAAGACTCATCAGATACATACAAGTGTTTCAAATTGTTAAAAGATAATTACGACCTGATTGTAAATATTTTTACCAGAAATATGGAACATATTATTAAATTTACAAAGCCTTGAAATTATGGTATAATTATTTCAGGCAAGTATTTTTTCCATTCTCAGTTTGTCATTAAACAACTGCTAATTATTTATATATTTATTTAAGTAGTTTTTAATATGAGAATTATTCATTCGATCAAGTAACTAATACCAGTTCAAGATGAAATCATTTTATTCCTAGTTTGACAAACATTCTTATAGTTTTCAGTACAACATATGACACAAATGGTTGAAGGCTTAGATAATGCTTAAAAAAGAAAAGATTATGAAAAAGCCAAAAGATGTATCATCAATAGCAACAACATGTAACTCACCATCGCTGAAAGGAATTTCACAATTTACGAATTATATTACAAGTCAAAACTGTATTCACTATATATTAGCTTTATTATTATTAGCAGATTAATTGTCGAACCAAAAACTAAATTTGCATGAATTTTATAATTGTTGACACAGCAAGTTTCCAATTTTTATTTTAAACAAGTAGCATAACAACAATGAATCATCATTTTTTGAGGATGACAATAAAGATTAAGATCTGATTTTGTTTCATGAAAATACTCAAGTTTTTCAAAAAAATCGGCTGCCCTACTTATATGTTTTGAGTTTACAAAATAGACTACTATGTCTTGACCCGAGTGATGTTATTTTGTTGCTCTTTGCGACGAAGAAGATGCAACCCCAAACCCAACTTAAAATAAATGAATTTTTGTTCTCGCGTAACATGGTGTTCGTGATTTTTAACACGAAAACCATAAGCTCGCATTGCGCTCTCTTGTTATTATCATAAAAATTTTTACTGATTGAATAAATGGGGGTTATTTTTTTTTTAATTGAAAAAATGTCCAAACTTTCTCAACGGAAACAGTAATATTAAAAAAAATTTGATATGATGAATGTGAAGTGATAAATAACTGAATCAACAATTAATTTACCATCATCAGTCCGTCAATCATGTTTTATTATTATATGAAGTTTTGATTTAACTGGCTGTAATACGAACAATTGAATACTTTTTCTGCACACAATTTAAATATAGCAAGAGAAACCAATTAATTGAAGGAATTGAAATCATGTACTGAATATGCAAAAGGAAATTTAACTTTTTATTTACAATTTGATTAATATATATATATACACACATATATGCATTATTTGTTCTAATAATAATAAAAATACTATTTTTTTTTTTACACACAAGTAATTTTTTTATAATAAGTTTTAACAGATCTCCATTCATTCTGATAGACTTGTGATTTTTGAAGTCAATTATTAGTTCAAGGTCTTTTTTTTTGATATTAATTACCATTATTAATTCCTTCACATTTTCTTTTGCGTTCAATAGATCTATGTTCATTCTGGCATGTTTCTTGCGATTTTTGAAGTTGATTATTAGTTTGAGGTCTTTTTTCTTGATGTTTATTACCATTATTAATTCCTTCATGTTCTCTTTTGTGTTCAATAGATCTACTATGTTCATTCTGGCATGTTTCTTGTGATCTTTGAAATTGATTATTAGTTTGAAGTCCTTTTTCTTGATGTTTATTACCATTATTAATTCCTTCATGTTTTCTTTTACATTAAATAGATCTATGTTCATTCTGGCATGTTTCTTGTGATATTTGATCTTTGCATTTATCATCATCACCGAATAAATTTAAACATACCCAGACCTTGTCATGTTCTGCCACAATTTGTTCAAAAAATGAAGTATGTTTGGTATTAAGATGATGCTCCATATCTTCTGGTGAATAATGATGAGTATGTTCTTCTCCTTTGCAATATAACAACATGCATATAAAAATTGGTGCCTTGATACCCATAATAATTGCTGATTTTATTGTAATAATATTTCCTTCAGGGAAATAAGAATAAAGTTCTTTTGCTTCTTCTTCTAACATTGGTACTACTTGATCTTCAAGGTAACTCTCAGAATAAATAGTGTAGGCATCACCTTGATATATTGGTGGGTCTCTATAACTATGGCAATGTTGAAGAATCATGTAGAGATCAACTTGAGAGTATCTAAGAGGATTAGCTATCACTTCAGAGAATGTTTTAGCAACTTGTTTATTAGGTCCAAGGCGAGGCCATTTTTTTAACAAGTATTTCAATATAAGTTCCTGTCGGTGTGGCTTTTCTGCTTCATAGATTATTTGATTTTTTAATCTTTTCAAGTACTCTTTTGAAGGTTGTTTATGTTTATTAACCTTAACCTCAGCAAGATAAAAAATTGCTCTTTTGTATGAAGTGAAATGAGATTGGATATAATGAGATTCATAGTTTAACGTTAATTTTCCCTCCTTAAGAATTTTATCAACAAGTTTGTTGATTTCCCCAATAAGCCTTTTTGATCTTTTCATATACAAACTGCATTCTTTATTGCGATACTCACATTCTTCCATAAATTTTTTTTGAATCTCAAACATTTTTTTACCTTCCTCATCATTAGTTTTAACAAAATTCACATCAACATCTTTTCGCCAGAAATGTACCCTCACTCCATCTTTCTGAAATGTATAACGTAATCCTGAATCATCACCTCTAATAGTCTTTTCTCTGAAATTGTTAAATAAATAAATGAATAAATATGATTATTTAATCAATAAACTTTATATAATTACTTACCTTCTTATAGTGGTTCTTGTATTGTAACATTTAGTACAGCATCTTACACGAAACTGCAGGATCGAGGTGAGGCAAGGAAGAATCTAATATATTGTAATTCACTCCAGTTTGGTGGGGTGGTCGTTGCAGTCCTTTAAAATAAGTTGTTCTTGCTTTTTTCCAAATTTGTTGGGTTCCATCATCCATTAATATAAAATGGAATCTTGAACACGTTTGCATAAGTGCCAACAAATCGGATGGTGGTAAATCTTCACAAATCCGAAAGAATATTCAAGAGGCATATTTGAGAAAAGTGCCAATTGTATTTTTCTGATGGGATATTTATGATATTCATCACCATATTTATTTATAAAGTTTTTGTAATCTTGGCATACTCGTCAGATTTTCTAATATAATAAATAAATAATAAACAAATAAATAAAATAAAAAAATAAAAAAATAACTAGAGTGACGACGAGTGACGACGAGTGACGACCACCACCGCCATTCTTAAAACGCTTACCCTTTAATTATTTCGTTGATGTAATTATTAATTTCACATTTCTTGACATTTTTTACAAGAAAAAGAAAGTTTATAATTATTTATCCTATTGGTTTGGATTTTTTTTTTGGGAAAATTTATTTTTTGACAGAGTCCAAGGTGACAAAACGTGAGTGTTGTTGTTTGGTTCGGTTTGGGTCTCCTAAATAAAACATATTAATAACTAACCAGAGGTACTTTTTTTTTTAGTTTATAAATATTTTAATTGGAATCAAAACACGGAGCAGATCATTGTTGGGTAATTATAAGATCCTTGTCAAGATGATAACGAATGAACGATTGGTATTTTGCTTTGCATAATCAGTAATATTAATAATATTATTATATTATTATAACTACAAGATGTCAAGGCAGCACGACCGAAACAATTCGATATGCAATGTTTGATTATCGAAAATTGGCAGACGTTGAAGCACGCACACTGCCTTGAACACTTTACAATCATTCTCACGTATTCCTCGTGTACATAAGGCTAATTT